GTGCAAGAGGAGCGGGGAGGCCTCGTGCAACAGCTCCTCGTGCGACGGGAGCGGGGGGGCCTCGTGCAAGGGCTTCTCGTGCAAGAGGAGCGGGGAGGCCTCGTGCAAGGGCTCCTTGTGCAAGGGGAGCGGGGAGGTCTCGTGCGATGGCTCCTCGTGCAACGGGAGCAGGGAGGCCTCGTGCGACGGCTCCTCACGTGCCCAGAGTGGGGAGGCCTCTTGTGATGGCTCCTATGATGTCCCTCATCCCCATGGCCATGGTGTCCCCATTGTGTGCAACAGCTCTTCGTGTGCCCAGAGCGGGGAGGCCTCGTGCAACAGCTCCTTGTCCGATGGGGAATGGGGAGGCCTCGTGCAAGAGCTTCTCGTGCAACAGGAGCAGGGAGGCCTTGTGCAAGGGCCTCTTGTGCAACAGCTCTTCGTGTGCCCAGAGCGGGGAGGCCTCGTGCAACAGCTCCTTGTCCGATGGGGAATGGGGAGGCCTCGTGCAAGAGCTTCTCGTGCAACGGCTCCTCGTGCGACGGGAGCGGGAAGGCCTCGTGCGACGGCTCCTTGTGTGCCCGGAGCAGGGAGGCTTCGTGCAAGGGCTCCTCGTGCAACGGCTCCTCGTGCAGGAGCAGGGAGGCTTTCTGAAAGGGCTCCTCGTGCGACAGGAGCGCGGAGGCCTCGTGCAAGGGCTCTTAATGCAACGGCTCCTCGTGCAGAAGCAGGGAGGCTTCGTGCAAGGGCTCCTCGTGCAACAGCTCCTCGTGCCACAGGAGCGGGGCGGCCTCGTGGAAGGGCTCCTCCTGCAACAGTTCCTCATGCAAGGGCTCCTCGTGCAAGAGGCGTGGGGAGGCCTCGTGCGACGGCTCCTCGTGCAAGGGCTCCTCGTGCGACGGGAGTGGGGAGGCTTCGTGCGAGGGCGCCTCGTGCAACGGCTCCTCGTGCAAGGGCACCTCGGGCGAGGGGAGCAGGGAGACCTCGTGCAACGGCTCCTTGTGCACCAGGGCTGGGGGGAGGCCTCGTGCGACAGCTCCTCGTGCGAGGGG